GTCAGAGACCTCCCGGTCTGCCTGCTTCTCTTCTCCTTTTACGTCTGCCTGGCCCCCAGGTGGCAAAGACTTCTTTTAATCCCCAGGGGTAGGTCAGTTTCCAACAATTTCCAGGTATCATCCCCCACTCCCAGAACTTACAGGACTATCTTATTCACTCTTTGTGTTCTCATATCTCTGCTTCAGTTGTGTTCTGTGTCCCCGGTGCCTTGCAGTCCTTTGACAATTCTCATAATAAGTAGAGTCGGCTCCATGATCATCTGGGCTGGAGTGCGACAGCATCCACAACCCTGTCTTCTTCACAGTGATGTACTTGAATTCCAGTCCTGAGGAGACACAGCCAACTTCAAGGACTGACTAAAGCAAAAATAAGGCGCAACATACTTGGCTTGGATAGCTCCTTCCCACCATGAGGTAATATGTATTGGGCCTGGAGATATGGGACAAATGAATGGCCAGCAGCAATACTTAGCACAAGGAAATGGTGCACTTCAGGAAGGTGAAAGCCTGTGCAGGATGACCAGAGGGCATGTATGCTGAAAAGGAGGATGAAATCTGCATAACATTGCATATATGAATTTATATGTAAAATGAAAAAGCATTTGAAAAATTGAAACAGAATTTCAGTACATCTCTTCCACAGAGGAACACTGTAATCAAGTGATCTGTGTGCCTGCGATGTTGCTATTCAAATAAATGGTCATTGTGGATTAGAAACTTTAAGGTTGTTGATCTTATGGTTGTTGTGGGTTTTTCGGGCTCAGAACACAGCCAAAGAGTCCAAAAAACCCACAACAACAATTAGAGCCCAGCCGTGAAAGCCTTCATGAATACGTTGTTGATCTTCCTTCTATGTAGTTCATCTTTAAATCAGCCTTGGAGCAGACTTCAAACTGAGGCCACCATCAAAAAGAGCATTGTCCTCCCCAAAAAAAGACATATGGCCACCCTTTGTGAATGGTTTCTATCCTCAGTACTTTCATCTGTTCCCTGAGATTTTCAGAACAAATGAACAGAAACAAGATCCAGCCCTGCCATGCTGGATCAGACAGAAGGTTCTCTCATCCACCATTTTGTCTGCAAAGCAACCAACCAGCTGCCTGTAGAAGGCCCAGAAGTAAGACATGGGTGCAACAGTACTAGCATTCCCAGTCTGAATCATCCCATGCCATGAAATTTCAGAGTTAAAAACCTAAGACAAGGAGTGGACCCTCCCAATGCCAACAGGAGTGGAAGGAAAGTGTTAGGAATGGAGATGAAACTGAAGCTGGCTCTGAGCCAGGTAAATTTCAAAACAGGCCCAAGTGGAATCTGGGTAAGTGGGCTGGGACGGTATGGGGAAGCAGCTAACCTGGTGAAATGGCAACCCAAAGACAGGGTGAAAACATTTTGTGTGCATGCTGCTGCTGTTGCTCCCATTCTTGTTGCTGTCACATTCTTTGTGGCTTCACTTATAGCACTCACAATAGAATGGACGTTTCCTCCACCACCATCCCAGACCTATGCAGCTAATAGGACTTATGGGATGCTCACTGCCAATCCATGGGGAGTTCTTCAAGGCCATTCACTGCTCTTGCCAGGACTGGTGCAATAAGACAATTCACAAGATGTCACATCCCACTCCCTGTCTTATTCCAAATGGCACAGAAACATAGAATCGCAAAGCTAGAAGGGATATCACTTAGATATCCCTTCTAGCTTTACAGTTCTGGTAGTCAAAAATTCCTTTGTTGCTGTTTGAAACAATTGTACACAGAAGACAGGCTTGCTCCAAGATAGCCTCCTATATCCTTCATGGTTAACATGCCACTTCTCTAGGAAAAACAAACCCAATTCATCCAAGCATTTCTCATCAGGTTCCCATATATTTTACTGTCTTCAGTCAGATTCCTCTGGAAACATTCCAGCATCTTGATATCCTTCTTAAACTGTGGTGCCCAGAGGTGGAAATAGTCTGATCAAAGCAGCCCCTGACTGGGACAACAGTGGTTGCACATACTTAGGGTTGATTCACCCCAATGCATGCACTCACCAATTCTCTCCTCAGAATCTTTTTTTTCCCCACTGCTCCTTGGTTTTTTGTAAGTGATATTACAGAACCACATCATATGTATAACCTTCCAGGTGGGTCTTGGTGCCAAGTGTGAAAGGATGATGTTAGTGCTAAGGCTTCAGTTTAAAGCTACCTCACGCAACAACATTTTAAAACATTTTCTTCTTGCTGCATACAGTAGATCTGTATCCACACCTAGACACCTGAGATTTCAATCAACAACCAAAGATCTGGCAACTAATATAAGAACTAATATAATTATCACTCTGTGATAGAGTAACGTATGTGACACCAGAACATTTTCAGCCTGCCCATTGTTGCTACACAGGTGATGGTCACTGTTACGGTAGCTTGGAAGCCACCTGTCCGTCATTGCTGTTGCGGCATGTCATCTGCCAATAGCGTGACGGAAGGTGGGACATAAGGGGTGGAGCCAATGTATATAAGGGGAGTGAATGGGTGTGAGTGTTTCAGATAGGGACAGATAGGGTCTTGATAGGGACCAGATAGGGACTGGTTAGGGACCGGTTAGGGTGTTAGAGTTTGTTTCTATTGTGAAGAACTGTGCTATATAGTGAGGGTCTGTGAAAGAGTGTGTGAGTGATACTTTATTATAGTGATTGCCTTATTATTTGAGTTATTAAAGCATTTTAAAACATTTTCTTCTTGCTGCATAGATCTGTATCCACACCTAGACACCAGGGGTATTCCCTGAGATTTCAATCAACAACCAAAGATCTGGCAACTAATATAAGAACTAATATAATTATCACTCTGTGATAGAATAACGTATGTGACACCAGAACATTTTCAGCCTGCCCATTGTTGCTACACAGGTGATGGTCACTGTTACGGTAGCTTGGAAGCCACCTGTCCGTCATTGCTGTTGCGGCATGTCATCTGCCAATAGCGTGACGGAAGGTGGGACATAAGGGGTGGAGCCAATGTATATAAGGGGAGTGAATGGGTGTGAGTGTTTCAGATAGGGACAGATAGGGTCTTGATAGGGACCAGATAGGGACTGGTTAGGGACCGGTTAGGGTGTTAGAGTTTGTTTCTATTGTGAAGAACTGTGCTATATAGTGAGGGTCTGTGAAAGAGTGTGTGAGTGATACTTTATTATAGTGATTGCCTTATTATTTGAGTTATTAAAGTGATTTACCATTCCTTTCGTTGTAACCAATAAAATCAAGTTTTTAGTTTCAAAATAATTTATTAGTCTGAAGAGTCTTTTGAGGGAATGGTTGGTGGCAGCGTGAATAGAGTGAGTGTGTGAGAGTGAACTGGCACCTCCTTTGTGACATGTGAGGAGGCTGTCACAGTCACCATGGGAACTAAGGTGCCTCAAGTATTGCAACATAGACTTCTACTCATTCCTTTACTTATTGAGGGGGCCTCTTAGAGCATTTGCCAGCCTTGGGGCTCCTGAAGTAGGATCCCAACCAATAGTCAATGGAAGGGGTGTTTTTTTTTCTCCTTCTGGGATGCAGACCTTAATCTGGTGAGAGGGTTTGAGTATGACAGAGAAGCTGTGAGCGAAGCCATGGGGAAGCTGGACTTTGTTATGAGTCTGGATTCCTAGCAGGATGATACTGTACTTTGAAGTCTACATCTCATCTTGATCACAGGGAAATCCCAGGGGAATGGATTTGAAGGTGGCTCCACCACTTCATCTCCTTCCCCACTGCAGATTCCATGTAGGGGAATGGATTTGAAGGTGGCTCCACCAGTTCATCTCCTTCCCCATTTTGGAATACATCTCCCAGAATTCTCAGACTTGCACTCCAAAAGGACAATCTGCACTTGTCTAATAGAAATGCTGCAGTCAGACAGATAGAGCCAAATGTGTCATCCTTGTTCAATTACTATTATGCTGAAAGGAAGAACAGCCATGATGATGGTGACGAAAAGATAAATGCCATTGTCCCCAATCATGTACTTATATTATTTCACAGTTGGATCACAGCCACAGTACCCTAAGACTGCAGGTGTGCTTCAAGATTTCCTCAATTGTCAATCCATTTGTTTATAAATGTAAGTCCACTTCATACTTATTACGAAGGAAGCTGTTGCCCATTGAGTGTATTCTGTTGTCAGCAATGTAAGGCTGCAATGCTATCCACATATATTAGTGACTGAGCTCCATTGGACTCAACAGGATTTGGTTCTGTGTAAAGACACAGCTAATATCCAATGTAGTGTAGAGGATAGAGTGACAAACTAGGACTCAGGAGACATGGGTTCAAGGCACCCAATGTGATGCCTTGTGGTAGCAAATTCTACAGGCAGGAAATACTTCCTTTTATCTCTCCTGAATTTTCCCCCATTTCAGCTTCAATGGATTACCCTTGAGTATAGTATTAGGAGGAATTGACTCTTCTCCTTATCCACTTTCTCCACATAATAAAGAAATTCATACACTTATCACGTCTCCACTTAAGGCCTGTCCAGAAAGGGGAATTTTGAGTGGTCTGGTTTGTGGTGAACAGGTCTGTTTGATCACTTGAGAGATCCTTATGTTCACACTGAAAATGTTTATTATCCCATAAGAAGGGCCCACACAAGTCTTTAGACTGTTGGTTTACTCATGAGCAAGGAGAGACCAACAAAAGCAGTGGAAGACAGCAGCACTGCAATAGAAAAAACTGGGGTGAAGATTGGGGAGATGGAAGGGCGTTAACTCCCCTTTTCCCACATCTATCCTCAGCTGGGGCTCCTCTACCTTGTGGGGGTGGACTCATGAAGGTGACTAACCCCCCTTCCCCACCTTTCCCTGAGACCATTGTTGAGTAGGCAGCTATGGCTTGCTTGCTTGCTTCCTTGCTTGCTTTCTCTTATTAAATAAAGTAAGTGGCAAATCTAAATAGCAACCCAGCACAGTACTAGAATTTCATTGTGTCCCTAGGACATTTCATTAGGGATATTTAAAAAAAATACAAAAATAGAGGGGGGGAGTTTCCCCGTTCTCCCTTTTAATGTCACAACCCATCTAATATGTCACAGAGTTGTCTCCTCAGTTAACAATGCACACAGCTCCATTGGGGTGAGAACTAGCTATCCATACGGGCTACACAGTGGGAGCAGGCTAAATTGTACAACAAAACAAAAACGAGAAGCCTCTAGCCTCTAAGTAAAAACACATGTGGTTCACATCGCACCATACCAACAATGACCCAGATAGTGACCTATACACCCTGGACAGGCTTTTTTCCCTGAGGTTGACTTTTCCTAAGGTCAAGAGGCCCCCAATGTTACGCTACCCCTTTCAGCATTTGGGTTACCATTTTCTATGCCTTTTCTATCATTTTTAGGTGCCACTATTACTTAAAAAATGATAATAACTTAGGAGGAGTATATTATGCATCTGGGTTTTTAAATAAATTCTCCAATGAGATGTGTGTCCAGAGTAAAATTTTACCTCTAGTCCAAGATCTTTTGCTGGCCAAAAAAGTCCCACCGGAGTAGCAACACACAACGGAGTTGCCTATGAAAGTGTTGCTATTTCACAACCTGTGATCTCCACTGAGGAACACTAACTTCTACTTGCACAATGAGGTCCTATACATCTCCCTGTACAAGTAATGGAAACATCACAACTTTCATACAATCGTCCGGTGTATGAGAGTTTGAGACCCTAGGATCTTGACCCCTCCATCTTTGGAAAAAAACTGAAAAGCTTTCCATCACTGGACTATTGGTACAGTTGCACATATGAAGAATGTTTATTCAGCTTTTCAAAGACCTAATTATCCAATGTGAGGTGCAAAGGTTTGTAAATTGGCAGCGAAGACAAGAGCTTTCCTTCTGCAGTATCAGAGGCAATCTTTGCTAACTTATTTCTTCCTCCCTGCTGGGATCTTTTTCTTTTATCTTCTACTCAGTGACACATTTTCAAATTAATGCCAACAGAGAGATATCTTTTGATTGTTTATCAGAGAAGTCATGTAGTAAAAAACAGTTAGCTAAATATGAGAAGAACAGAACATCAAATAGAAAGTGCTTATAACTTCACTGAGATACAACAACAGTGGGAACTAGCTCGGCACTGAGGGCTCCCTTGGAAAAAAAGCATCACAAGATATGAGATCCACAGCAAATCTGCATCACTTATTGAGATGTAACTGACACAATTTGCATAATGTCTTAAGAAGTACACTGGATGCTGGCTAGCCAACATACTGGGTTTCTGTAATGTAAACAGATACTGTCATGTGGGTGTTTTCACATTGATTGATCATCCATGAACATTCTCTTTCTTACACCACAGTTGCAGCCATTTATATGAGGCAGAAAGGGAGATGCTCATTCATGTGCTTAGAACAGAGGTGGGAAGCTTGCTGTCCATGGGCCCCTCCTAGACCACACCAGATCCTTCTTCCATTTAAAAAAATCAACTTAAAAAAAGAGAGAACTGCTGTTCCTGGGAGCCTCTAAAGTGACTTCCCCCACCCACCATTTGGTAGAAAATACTGATTTTTGAAGCTGAACAGAGTTGATCTTCAGACCAGAAATGACTTTCCAAACACATCCAGGTTGATCTGGTCCTTGGGATCAGAAAAAATGGACACTGGCTGGCTCAAATCAAGTGCAACTGGTTCATTCATTCCCAGGATCGGTAGTTTTCCATCAACTGAAAATCAGTTTTTATTGACCTCTGTTAATAGCATAGGCCAATTAATCTTAAACACAACTGTGATTCAGAGTCCTCCAGTGTATGACGAAAAAAGACTGCAACCTTCAGCAAGCAATGTTTGCAGAATGTTGACCCAAATTACACTTTCATTGGGCATCTTCAGTTGCAGCATTTTATTTTCATTTAGAGGCTATGTCTTGGCAGTTATCTATATGTGAGTCCCATTTTGTTACATGAACATTCAGAGGAACAGGACCATACCATGTTAGTACCATTACTCTAAAATGCTCCTAGCTATGAGACAATCATTTTTTAATACATGCTCTTGACTTGGCTGCAGCTGGTGTTCTTTTGATGGGCATTTGAGTTTCTGAGAAATTAGGACACACGGCTGTAGCACTTCCATGTTTCTCTCACAGTCATGAGGACCAGAAAGCTGAGATGCTCAAAAGTCTAACAAGAGTCCACAGGATGTGAAAGTCCCTCAGGAGATGTTTGCTGTTTCATCTTGGAAAAAAACAAAGACAGTGACTAAATATAGATTTTGGAGTACTGTTGGGTTCTCAGTTCATAAGCTTCAATCCCATTATTTCTCAGGGGCTCTTTTTCATCCACTGTATCAATATCTTTCATCTGTGGGAAATAAGCAGGAGAAGCTTTGCATTCGTAATGCCTGTCTAGGGACTTCAAGTGTATCAGCATGTGGAGAGCATAGGCGAGGACAAGAAGTAGTATCAGAGACATAACCAGGCCCATGAGAATGGCTGGAGGGAAAAGGGAGGCACAGTCTTCCGCATAAGCAAACTGCCCGTCTTCAATGTTAAATCCTTGAATCTGTTAAGAGAATTAAAAAAGGGAGAATTAAAACAGGCTTCCACTCCTGGCTGAAGGCATTTAATTATTTTTCCCACCATTGCTAATTGCAGTTTTTCTTAATCTCTGTGGTTATAAAGTCAGTTTTACTGTCTTTTTTTTAGCTGGCTGTATTTTGTAGTTGCATGTTACCAAGGAAACACATAACCTAGGGATGGAGACCATTTGCCCACCCTCCCCCCAGATACTGCTGAATTACAAGTCCTATCATGCCTCACCACTAACAATGCTGCCTAGGATGGATGGGAGTTGCATTCCAGCAGCCACTGGTGGGCCACATGTTTCTTGGCCCTGGCATAACGAACTGATGTGCTGAGACGTACGCTTTCGATGGAGATGCAAACATACCGATTTTCAGGACTGACTGGCACTGATGCTCATAGATATCCATAAACTGCAGGTTCAATATATAAACTCTGGCAACTTCTAATGCTTAACTTTAAACAGAAGGGTAAGCATGATGGTTCTGAGTTCTTATCCAGATCCAATTTTAATCTGAGTTGAAGAAAACCTTTCCCCCTCCCTGCTGAAGCTTCTTTGGTGCCCTTGGGAACTATGTTTTACAGGGCATCTAGTACATGGCCCAGAAGGGAGGACAAGGAAGAGAGCTGGAGAAAGGGAGAAGGCTCAAGATCTCTTTTTCCTCTAAGCACTCAGATGTCTCCACCACTGGAGCAGTCACTGGAATAGGAGAGGCCAAGCGGGAGACAAGAGGACCTCAGCAATAAGGATAGCCTGGCAGTAACTGTTAAGAAAAGAGTTTTGGTCAGATCATAACCATGGTGGTGTTTAGACAACCTGAGACAGGCTGTTTTGAACATAATTAGAACTCCTGATGAAACATAACATTTTAAACATTTTACTAGAGACAGAGATCTCACGTGTTGCAATAATTTTAGGTGCACTGAATTCACAGGAGAAGCAAAGTGTGCTGCTTATATATACTGCCCTATAGCACTTAAAGCACTCTCTGAGCATCTTACAATTTAATTATGCAGGCTACACAGTGCTCCTCCTCCCCCAGCAAGCTGGGTACTCAGTTTACTGACCTTAGAAGGGATGGAAGGCTGAGTCAACCTTTAAACAGCTGTCTGAGCCCATCGGGATCAAACTCAGATCATTAGCAGAGTCTTGACTACAGATTAGGCATCCTTCAGTCTCGAGACACTATGGTAACGTGCTTGGCACAGCGTCTAGTGTGGCTGAGAAGGCCAATTCGAGAGTGACAACCCCTTCCACACTGAAGACAAATACAATCTCTCACCTGTCCAGCTCCCTGATTTTGCTGGTTTCAGGACTGCCTCTTTGCCTCGGCCTGCTGAACAAGTGTCTCTTCAAAAAGGGAGAAGCCATGCTGCCCTGCCTGCCTCCAGGGTGAATGCTCAGATGTCAAGGTTTCCCATCTGTTGAGGTCCATTCCTAAGGCCTTCAGATCCCGCTTGCAGATATCTTTGTATCACAGCTGTGGTCTCCCTCTGGGGCGATTTCCCTGCACTAATTCACCATATAGGAGATTGTCTTGACTACAGTCCTGCAGTTTAACCCCTCTGCCATGAGGCTCAAAAGAACAATCTACTGAGCAAGTCTTACAACCAGGATAGGGAACTTTTTGCCATCCAGATGCTTCAGGACATATCTCGTAATTCCTTACTGTGGGTTACAGTGTCCATGGCTTCCAGTACAGTAGTTGTAACCCACACTGTTTGGATAGCTGTGGCCATATCCTACATCATATGCAGATGCTAGGAGACAAATCTCCTCAACTCCCTCTGTGTTACGGATTGATTCCTGTGTTCTGATTATCACCTGTGACACAGCCCTTGCCTTCATGTCAACCTGAAAGTCTTTCAAATGTTTGTTGGATTATTGTTTCGGCATATGTGCCACAAATCATCCATATCTAAGATGTTGTATTTGTATTAGTTTATGCTGCAGTACAGACGTCATCCAGTTCTCCTTCAATCCACTGATCCAAGAAGAAGAATGCAATGCAAAACATAATTCTATGTGCTGGCTGTATCATGCCCACAGACTTTCCTACTCCTTCCCAGGAGGAGAGCCACAAATTTCTACTGCCTGCGCCATACCTACTGTAGAGATGGGGAAGTGCTACCAAGTTCCTCTTTTATTAAAATTGAATTCTGAAAAATATCGGGTAATTTCTCCATGAGGGGTCCTTTTGTCTTCTCAAGGACAGAATTACACCCCAAATGGGCCATCACAATTATTTATCCTGGCTCACTGTTATCCAAGCAACAGTGAAGGAATAAGGGTGCACGACCTTCACTCAATGCTCACTTGTTTACCTAGCAATGCTGCTAATGCCACCACCTCCATATCTGAAACATAAGTAAAGAGAAGGTGGTAGCATGGTGGTAGAGAAAATCCAAGAGGGCTTTGAGAGACTGCAAGGACTTGAGGAAATGGTCCAGTTGTAAGCTAAGAATTGTTCTCCAGCTCAGCTTCACTTTTGCTTGTGATCGAATTTTAAAACTTCCCAATAAACCTGGCTCAGGAGAACTTCACCATCTCTAGTCACTTGCTGAGCCCCTGGCAGAGATTAGACAACCATGAAGGGACAACCTTGCACAAACCACACCTGCAACTCCTGGGTAGTTTGCTGATGTCCCCCACAAACCACACAATCAGTTTTATCAAACTGGTGGGCTGAAAGGGTTTTTTAATGGATTGTTGTTCTCCATTGTTTTTAAATATGTTTTTAGCATTGATTTTATTTACAGCTTTTAATACAAGACTTGTTTAATTATTTTAAAATATTAGTATACTTAAAATATCTTTTTTAATAATTTAAGCCTCCTTGGGTCCTTTAAAGGAGAAAGGCGAGATAAAAATATTTTAAATCAACACATAAATTGAGTAATTGTGCATAGCACAAGAGCAGTGTTTCCCTTTATATCTGGAGTAAAATCAGGCCTTATCCTATACATTTTAAGAAAGAAGCAGTCAGAGAATCCTAGAAGAGGCGCTGGGAGCAGATGGAGACGACACTGTTCTTTATCTGAGGAACAAAAGGTTAGATAATCTCTACTGGATGTTATGCACCACCGGACTGTGAGATTGCTCTTCCATTGAGCCTGGAAGGAGCATGAACCTCATCAGCCAGCCGCAGAGAAGAAATGCCCAAGGACAGATCATTCTTACAAAAAGAAAACTAGGAATCAATGTTGTGGAAAGACAAGAATTGCCAACTCAGGCTGGCATGGGATCATGGTCCGACTCAGTTGGAGAACACTGAACTAAGGAAAGCTGCCTTAGCCTATTTGCTGAAGAAGCAGAAGCAGAGGGTGGCTGTTCAACTGACTGGTCAGCCTGAGCCAAGGTGGAGAACTCATGGCACTCCAAATGTTGCTGGACTCCAGCTCCCCAAAAACTATTGGCCAATAGTTAAGGGGGATGAGAGCTGTAAATAACACAGAGCTTGAACTATTCCTGCTTAAATTATTACTTATTATTATTATTTATTTATTTAATTTATATGCTGCCCACACTACCCAAAGGTCTCTGGGTGGCTTACAACATTTAAAATACAATAAAAATTCAGAACAATTAAAATGCAATTAAAATGTATATAAAAATTGCCATCAGGACCCATAATTGATATTATTTCAATTAAAAGCCTTCTGGAACAGGAAGGGTTTGACCTGGCGCCAAAATGTCATCAGCGTCGGCGCCAGACGAATCTCAGTCGGGAGAGCATTCCATAGACTGGGGGGCAGCTGCCAAAAAGGCCCTTTGTCTACAAGCTGTCCCTCTTACCTCCTTGAGGGATGGTTCTTTCAAAAGGGCCCCCTTTCATTTTTACTGGCTGAAATACAACAGTAAGTCAGAAATAGAGTAGGCCTGTTGAAACTATGGAACCTACAAAGGAGTTGACTCACCAAATCCCCACTGATTGAATAGGCCTACTCTAGTGGTGCCCTATATTGGCTTTCAGCCATTGAAACATACAAATATAGATTGCTATGTAGATTCCTACCATGGGAATGACTGATGGGTAACCAAGAGAAGAAATGGCTTCCCACACACAGGAGTTGCCACCTAACTCCTCACAGCCTACTAGGATGAACAGTAGGTGATAGATGCCTGCCTAGATTCCAGCAGTCACCAGTTAAAAAAAAACCCAACAACCTCAGGTCAGAACGCGCAGCTATTACAAATTGCCACTGCACATTCCAGCTGCAACTTCCAATGAACAAGAACAGCTTGCTCTGCATAACTCAATAACAATTACTTTGTCTTGGATAAACTGCTTGCTTTAGAGTGAGCCACTGCCCTTCCTTTCTCCCCTCATACTGCTAAGGAGATAAGAGTCAGTAACAAGTATTACGGCCTCACCTTGGTTGACCTCAGCAACTAACCCGAAGTGTGATCTTGACACTGAACTGTGGAGGTTACACATACAGTAAATACCTCAAATTGGTCAATAAAATGAAGATTAAATCTACTAGGCATGCACAAAACATGCAACTGCCACTAAAAATAGTAGCACTCATCTAGTTCTTCCTCCTCTCATTGTAACGTCTGGTTATACACTACAATGTCAGCAGTCATACAGTCCACACATAGGCAAAAGAACCAATAACCAATTATAGGCCTGTCACCAATGTTTCTTTCCTTAGTAAAGTGGTAGAAAGGGTGGTGACCAACGCCCTGGATCAATTTCAGTCTGGCTTCAAGCCATGCCATGCTATGGAAATGGTATTGGTCCCCCTGTTTGATGACCTCCTCAGGGAGGCCAACAGGGGCAAAATGTCTCTATTGGTCCTTCTTGATATCTCAGCCACCTTCAATACTGTCGACCATGGTATCCTCCTAGGGAGGCTCTCCGAGCTGGGAATCAGTGGTCTGGCATTAGCCTGGCTCCGATCCTTCTTAGAGGACCATCCCCAGAGATTACAGCTTGGGGACAGTGTATCGCCTCCAGGGAATCTCAATTGTGGGGTTCTGCGGGGCTCAATTATCTCCCCAATGCTGTTTAATATCTACATGAGGCCTCTGGGTTAGGTCATCACGGGCTGTGGGGCTTTGTGTCATCAGTACGCTGATGATACCCAGCTCTACATCTCCTTTTTCCCTACAACAGTGGATGCTGTTTTGTCCCTTCAGCGCTGTCTGGATGCCGTACTGAGATGGATGCAGGTGAATGGTCTGAGGTTGAACCCAGACAAGACAGAGGTCCTGAGGGTGGGTGGCCCAGACATTGGTGGTTTGGGAAACTCCCTCACTTTCGGGGGGGGGGGACTCTCACCACAAAGACTGAGGGTCGCAGCTTGGGGTACATCTTGATCCAGCACTTATCATGGAAACCCAGGTAGCATCAGTGGTCCGCACCGTCTACTTCCATCTTTGTCGGATCACCCAGCTGCGTCCCTATCGAGATGTCAGGGCCCTCACCACTCTGGCCCATGCGCTTGTTATTCTCAAGATTAGATCACTGGATTGCACTCTACCTTTGAGACTGATGCGGAAGCTTCAAATGGTGCAGAATGTGGCAGCCAGATTTCTTACTGGGGTGAGAAAACATCAACATATCTCTCCCACTCAGGCGGCCTTGCATTGGCTACCTGTTCATTTCCGCATTGACTTCAAAGTATTAACGATGACATCTAAAGCCCTAAACAGTTTAGGACCTTAATATCTGGCAGAATGCTTTCTCCCACCTAGATCTACCCGTATCACTCGCTCTAGCCAGGAGGGGCGGCTGAGGGGCCTAATGCCGAGGGAGGCCCGAAGAGAAAGAACAAGAAAGCGGGGCTTCTCGGCAGTGAACAATTGGCTATGAAACAAACTCCCCCAGAAATTTGTCTGGCTCCTTTGCTGGGCATTTTTAAGAGCCAACTTAAGTCCTACAGTAAAAAAAAAAAAAACATGAGATGGTCTACTTTCTTCCTGGCTCAAATCCTACTCCTTTACTTATAGATGGAAATCCCTGTAATCAGGTTTTAGCAGACCATTAAGCTTTCTTATTGCCAATGCCAAGAGGTTTCTCTGTCTAGATATCTGACAGGTTCACTCAGTCCACTCCATACCTGAAAGTCAATAAAAGTGACTTCCCAGAGCTTGGCTGCATCATTTGCAGAGCTAGGCGTCAACAGTGCATCATATCTCTGCAAGTTGCTCACATGTTCACAGTGATAGGAGTAGATCGCTGGAGCGTGTATTCGTGTTGCATTGAACGTTGCTTGTACAGAATGGTTGTAAATGAGCTGGATTCGATGTAAGGTAAACCAGTTTTGAATGGACAGCTTGTAGTAACTGTTTGTCAGCATAAATCTAGGCAGGAAACACCAGGAAAAGAACAACAATGGCTGCAAGAAATCATACCACACCATTGCACCACTTTTTACCAAGGAGACTCACCAAATGCATTTTACCATTGCATGGGATTTCCTCCATAACCCTGGGAGCATTAACTCACCATTAACTCTGAAGCACAGTCTCCTGCAAACAGCAGCATGAAAAATTGTTGATTTTCCACGTTTTGCTTTTAGACAATCAAGTTAATCTACTGGGCAGGGAATCCTGGGACTCAGGCCAGGTGCCTGCTTCGCTCCAATATAGGAGTGCTCTTCACCCATTCACAATCTCCTAGTCTAGTCTAATTTGTAACAAAGGGGGGAAAGAGTGAGCTAGGGAGCTTGCACTCAGGATTAATTGTGATAAAACTGAAAATAAATGGCATAATAAATTATGAAGAATGTGTTTAATGACCAAAGCCATGTAGCTTTATAGCTGTAAGCTAGAAACTGTTGGAAATGCTCATATCCCAGAATACTCTTATCAGGCTGAATTGAGCCTACAGTACAACTGAGCAATCCATGCTCTGATATGCTACGTAGATTTGATACTAATATTTTCTTAAACTCTCAGAAAATCAAGTGGTAAGCCACCAATTCCAAGGATATGACTAATGAAAATTAAGCCAGATTCACTGCAATGGGGCAGGCACATTCTTACCTCTCTTTTAGACAAGAACAAGTGTTATCTCTGGGTGGATCCTACTCCAGATCCTCCATTCTAAAGTTTCATTTGTATGTTTGTTTGTAAATGTCACAGCGGCATCTTCTTTCATCATGGGACTATGTAAGCGGACTTTATTATTTGCACCTACCTTGGCAAACGGTTCTGGTTGGATTTAATACAGCATGTTTGCTGATGCAGCAAAGTAACAATAAAGTCTTCTTGTGGCACCTTAAAAACTAAGATATTTTATTTGGGATGAGTGTCAAATGTGCAATCATGTTTGTTTGTCTTTAAGATACCACAAGACTCATTGTTTTTGTTGCAACAGACTAACACAGTTATCCCCCTGGAAAATGTCTGCAGGGGGAAACACACACATAGCCAGACACACAATGCATATCAGAAAACATTACCTGATAATAAATCCTTTCAGATTGTCAATGTCACCGAAATTGAGTGAAAGCCTAGAAGGGGGAAAAAAGCTGAATGCCATATTCAATCAAAAATATTTTTATAAAGAATAAAGATAGCTTAATTTACATCCTTCAAGCTATCTCAGTTGCCTAATGTAACACTGCGATTTTTCATAATTTTTTGTGCCTTAACCCCCCTACATTCTTCAACCTCTCCCCAGTCCTCAGACCGCCCCATAAATCTGTTTCTCTTATCTCTTGGGCTTGTATGAAATTTTCAGGTCAGATGAACTGGCAGATTTATCTGTCTCCCAGAAGCCGGACAGCGAATGCTTTATTAACTTTTTCACTTGAGCAGTCTGAATACTTGTGAAATACTTCAAGCGATCAGATTTGCTCAGCCAAACACTGTCAGAAACTTCACACTATATACAATATAGATTTGTCTACATCTACTTCCATTTTGTACTAAGCCTTAGCAACTCTCTATAATAAGATAATCTTACATTGCATTTTCTTCACTGCAGTTTGAATCGGCAACATCTACAGTTGCGTGCACACCAAATGTCTTGTCTGTTAGGTCCAGCTGGGTGTGATTCTGAAATTTAATCATGATTCTTCTGGCCCAGAAAAGAATACAGGGGCTTCCATTGACGGTGACATTAAGTGGGCTGTAGTGACTGTGGATGACAGATTCTCTCTCCGAATTCTCTTTGCTGCTTACGTTGTAATTCACAATCTACATGTAACCAAGTAAGACAGAGGAATTACAGTTCCAGCTTTCCAGGCAGAACAATCAATCTAAGCAGTGGAAATATACCATCAATCTTTGAATCTTTAAATCAAACTCAGTCTGAGTTATTTCAGCGCAAAGGCCAGAATCCAACTGGTAGTCCCAAACAAAAGAGACCATTGAATCGATGAGATTTGGATGTAATGAAAAGGGTACCATGAATAAAACACAGTCAGTACTGTGTAATAGTAATGCCAAAATAATAATTTTCAGATAAGCTTTTGATATGTAAAACCACCAGTTCCACCAACCTGGCCATGGGGAGACATACTCAATGCCCATTATTAGTAAGGAGACAAATGTTTTAGATTCAGTGATTTCTACAGTGCCTTCTCTAGATAACATTCTTATTCCAAACCAACTAATGCAAACTAACGTGTGGCACAGAAACTTGAACTTGTCTCTTAAAAGTATCCAACCAGTATTTTTCTTGGTTTATGAAAACAATTCTATCAAATCTTGTCTTAACAAATAGCAAGGACTGCTTAGAAAAGTTACTTAAAAAAAAAAACTTTAGCTCCCAGAATTCCCTCTTGCTGGCTGGGGGAGGGGGTTCTGAGAGTTGGCCAAAAAAACTGCACTTTCCAGATTCTGGTGCTACTGTATTAGAATATGAAATAACAGAAAGATTTTCTGCATTTTCAGAAAGCAGATGATATATTTGGGGCAAGGCTGTTACAGGCCATTTTAATTACACCTTTGTGTGAATGAGAAAATCTGTAGAACTCTTCTGTCCAAACAAAGCTACTCTTTTTTTTACAACTTAAGGTACAGAGACTTGAGGCCTAAAATCTACCAATTGGTATGAGGAGACTTGCAATTTCCCAGCAATGTGTCTTTAAAAAATGCAATGCGAACAAACTTGGAAAGCAGAGAACAAAGAGGGGGAAAAGAGTTGATTTGCAGATCAATTCTTTAAAAAACACAAAAATCAGTTAGGGAGTGTATTCCATTAGAGGTTTTTCAACCACTACTGTTGGGAGTAATGCAATATTTGCATGGTCACTGAAACATAAGCTTCTGTTTCTAGTTATCATCTAGTATGTCATCCAAGCAAAGTCCTTACAGAGATGACAAACCAAACAGACATGCCCCAGATACACACATTCAATGCCAAAACTGGTAACTAAAATTTTATAACATTGCCTTTGTAATCAACAAAATTTTTAATCAGAGAAAGGCTGGTCTTGCAAGAGACTGATCAGCTTCAGACAACCCCCATGAATTTTACTTATTTTGTTGCATAATGAAAGGGTCTATGTGAATATTGGTGAAATTTGTTGAGCTTTCCAACTAAAATTGGTGCTTGAAAAACTTCTCTCTTTTTTAATGCAACTCCCTGAATCCCTACAGCATGGCTAGTAGGAGTTTCTGTGGGTTTCTGAGAGCTGTAGTCTACATAATTTCTTCATGTTCTGACAGAAACAACCACACATAATTCATCATGCAAGTGTCATACTTATTCTATAGAGGAGAAAGTAAGTTTATATACATTATAAGTGAACTTACAATCCAGCGCTCTGATATCTCCATACCTGTGTAATTGCTAATTGTTGTAAGTTAAGTTTTGGCTTCACACTGCCATCATATCGTCGGCCTACAGAAGAAGAGACACACTGAAAGTTCTGTTATCTGCCTCTGTCAATGAACACAAGAAACGCCACTTATTCCCTGTAAAGAACACCTCTGCTTATTGAAAAACACTGTATCGTTTCTGAATTATTTCTGCATTTCCCTTCATTCTTTACATCACAGATTCAGTTATTTCGAGAACAGAGAAGTATGTTCACATATATCTTCTGCTAGCTGCTCATGGGACAGCGCAGGTGATGAAAACTGGGTTTGCAGTTGTAGATGTGTTTATATGATGTAGACTGGCAAGACAATTACACTATGAGCAGGGATGCATCAAGACCAGACCTTGATTTGAGAATTATAACTCCCATAATTCCCCAAACCAGCATTACTGACTATGCTGGCTAAGAGGATTCTAGAGCTGGTAGAAAATTAACCTTCCTAAACACTTTTCAAGATCCTGAGATGCTACAGGATCTCTCCTGTTCTATCATTTCTTTTATTCTCTGTGCATCATATCTTTATTCTTCCTCTTGTTTCCAGATATACCACCCACAGAGAGAAGAAGGGACTGTATGCTGTAGTCACTGGGAAGATGGCAGGAGAGACTGCTGGTTGTTCAGGGGCGAGAGTGGATAACAATGGCTTTGTTCACCTTCTCAAATCTTTTTAATGTTTCCATTTCTCAGGAGGGGGTTGACAATACAACCCATGAGATTCTCGTTTCTTCTCTTGCCAGTTCCAGCAATCTGTCTCACCGCTTGTTACAAACATTTGTGCAAGGCAATGCTATCAGACATACCTCCCACTGTCTGAAATTGTGTTGCTTAGCCCAGTAAGTTGCACTAGAGTAGGTCCATCTAAATCCATGGAACTTACAGAGCATCTGACTCACCAAATCCTCACTGCTCTAGTGTGGCTTACTACGCTGAGCAACAGGATTTCGACTAGTATGTTCAACATTGCTTACTGTCAGGCTACAGTAAAGAGGCAGATGGAAACCTGGCCATTCCAGTGCAGATCCATTCCATGAGGCCTTCCTACTCAGAATCATCACCCTTTATGAGCCATTCTACCCATCTTCCCAAAAAGATGGGCAACAGGGCCACACCATTAGCTTTGCTGGAAGAGCAGCCCCACTGTACACATCTCTTCCAGGTGAACCCTGTAAGAACTGCTGGTTAGCTTCAAGAATGGTGTCTACGTTTGCTTGTTTACCTCCACCTTCCCTCTTCTCCCTCTTGTTATTTAAATTATGAGCATGTGGGCAGGAATGGTCCTGCTTATTATTAAACTCATCTAACCCACTCTGGGAGTATTTTCATTTCAAATGAAAAAGAGGATTAAAATGCTTTTTAAAAATGAACAGGAAGCTACAGGATGTTAACTGTAATATTTCCTATGTGGGCTCTACAGAGCTTGGAAATATTTCCTTTCACAGAATCGACCAGGTATCATAGCCATATATGGGTTGCATAAGAGCATTGCGTACTCAGTGCGTGGCAAAACCTTTCCATCTTTGTTTGCTGAGTGTGTTTCCGAAAGGAGAAGGCATTGCAGAGTGAGCCCAGAACTAGTTATATGTGCCTCCAGCGATTTCTATCCTGTTGTTAAATAGACAGATGAATGAAGGACAAGGCCTGTTCTCTGAAAATAAAGTGCCTTGTAAGCAAAATACAACAAAAATGTGAAGCTGTGTAATACTAGGCTATATTCCTTTTCTCTCTCTCTTTTTAAAAAAATAATTATTGAATTAATATGGAAACAACAATAACAAAATAATAGTACAGGTCTTTCACTGGAAATGCATAATCTGATATAGTTCCTTCACACCACTGAAATCTGTATCAGATTAAAATTTCACACCCAAGATTCTTACACATATGAAAGCTTCCATACTTTTTAAACAGAAATTTTATATTGCAACCAAGAACATCAGACAAGGCTGTGAATATCACATAACACAAAGGCAGTTCAAAATCTTACCATTTCGCTGGAGCAGATCTTGATCAGAAAACTCAAAGAAACTGCAAGACAGCAGACACACAAACAGTACATCAGCAATATTTTTTTTGCAGCTTTGGGATCTGTTTAAGTTGGAGGATCTCCAAAACTATCTGCTTTGAAATGGCAACACAAGCTCAGATACAACACATTTAATTAAAATAATGCAATGTCAAAAGTTTTTTTAAAAACACAACAAAACATTATTGCCAATCTTGTTAGGTACTGTATGCAAAAAGACCTTGAATTTTTACATTACTATGCAACTAGTAGCAAGTTTATTTTCTGGTATTTCAGGATCAAACTATATTTTACATTTCAGTAGAAGAAGGAATTCCTTAAATACTGGAAGGCGTCTGGTTGTCACTGCTTTTCATATCTGTCATAGATTGCCTGCTATGCTTTGGGACTGGTTATGAGGAAGTAAACATGGGCTTCACTTACAAATATGATTGCTTAAACTCAAAACCTCTGCAAGAATTACATCTGTAGAAAAATAATTGTCTGCTATCTGTAATGTATAGTTTGGCTCTCAGGCGCTTCATAATTTACTACCGCAATTTAAATTATAGTAACTATTGTACTATACTTGCACTTCCTTATAAATATATTCTGATCACTGAAAAACCTCTCCCGTTCTTTCCTGGAAGTTCTCCTAGGAACTGTGTAGTTCCATTTCTTGAAGACAGGGGAAGTTTTCTGTTTCAAATTTTGACTTCAGGTTTAAGATTTCACGTTGCACAGGCTTTTGTTACTTAATTGGTTTATTGTAACTAGGTTACAGTAATTGGGTTTCATTCAGCTCCCTACAGGGCTCTTAATGCAGACCTAGAACAAAAGAAGAGAGGATAGTGTGTATTTGAGTTTATGAAAATTTACATCTGCTGCAAATTACCTTCCCTCTAATTCATCGGGATGGAGGGAGGGGTTGGGAAAATATTTCAGTAGTTCTGTGATGGCTTGTGTTTATGCGACAAGGGAAGTGGGGATGGTTTCCTGTTTCTCCCCCTCTCCTTATGTTTAGGATGCCAGTGTATGTCGAGTGATATTTCTTCTTGCCCTCCCCTCTCCTCATCTATTATATGAAAGGTTTAGTCACAGAAGATCTTGAGTTATTTTTGTGGGCAGGTGGTGACCCACATTCCTACCCCTAGAAAGATGATCCACGGAGATAATGCTATATGTCAAGCATCCTTTGGATGTGGGAAATTGTGGCTGTGGACTACCTGCTACCCACCAAAGGAGCACTAGCTCTTCTCGACTATACTGTACTCCAATCCCCTTCTCCTTGAAGAACTAGCAAGGGGAAGCCATCACTACCTGCCACCACTATATTGATCTTCCACTTGTGAACTAGGAAGGGAGGGAATAGGAAGCTGGCACCACTCACTGCAATATATGTGGCTGAGCTAAATACACTCCATTCTTCAAAACTTGGGAAAAATTGCTACCAGAATTCCCTTGGGCTGAGGGTTTCTTGGAACTGTAGACCATTGCTATGGACCAAAACAGCAATGAATCTCTAGCTAGCATGCATACTAGCTGGGTGGACAATTCCGGATCTCATAGCCCCAAAATATAGCTTTGTTGAGCACTGCCCCCCACATCACCTTTTATGGGGCTAAATCCACAACTTTTCCCAGTTGGTGAGTCAGGATAGCAGAGGCTGCCAGCTTCGACTCCGGTGGCTTTATGGGGCCGGGAGGGGGTCCACCTATTGACGGGGACAGCGCAATGCAGTCACGCAGCTCCCCTCTCCCCTCCTGCTCCTTCCTTCCTTCCGTCTCTCCCCCCCTACCATTATGACATGCCCCAGCCACTTTCTGGCCGCAAGTGCCAGCAGTGTAACTTGAAACTTTGGAATTTCTTTAAAAATAAAAAATTGCACTGGGCCGCATTATGAGCCGACCTGGGCCGCATGCGGCCCTCGGGCCGAAGGTTGGACAAGCCTGCTATAGACCAAAACAGCAATGAATCTCCAGCTAGCATGTATACTAGCTGGGTGGACAATTCCAGATCTCATAGCCCCCAAATATAGCTTTGTTGAGCACTGCCCCCCCAACATCACATTTTATGGGGCTAAATCCACAACTTTTCCCAGTTGGTGAGTCAGGAGACAGCCCTGTTTTGAACGTAACACATTTCCTTTTCAAACAGGGAAATCGGGAATATGCCTCTAATGATAACTCAGAGCAGGTCATAGTCTTTCCATTCTTTAGGCATGAAATACCTGCTATGCCCAAAGTCCATAATGTGTCCAATATATTCAAGGTTTGTTGTCTAATGGAAAAGTTCACTGCCTACCTATTGGCCCCACAGCTGTTTAGAAAAGAGTTTGAGACCTTGGTGGGCATCTAAATGAACACACTGGTTCAGGTGGTGAACTCTTCAGTTAACTCCTCTGTTAACAGAAGAGAACCGTTGCCATCCAGGCCTGCAGATTTTGGCTTTCATCAGGACTCTGAAGATCTAAGCTTCCTGGTAATTAGTGAGAACTGTGTGTTAGGCAGCTGCACCCCATCAGTGTACACAAAAGGTGGAAATTTCAAACTGCACAAGAAGCAAAATGAATATGCTTAATTGCATTTGTCCAGAGATGCTAAATGAGTGAGCATAAACAATATAGTTTAGACTGAAGCCCAGAGAGTCACATCTCCAGCAGAGAGGGGATTTGAAGGCACTTCAGGTAATGCACAAAACTCTATGGAGGTTTATGCTTCATTTTAAAAGTTCCTCTCCAGGGGTGTCCAACTGGCGTGAAACATCCAATTCACAGTACGAAATGCAGACACACTTGCTTAGGCATATGCTGCGTCCCTTAACAGTTGCTACAAACAGCTGCTTTCAGATTTGAAGCTTACTATAGGTTGCCTTATGCCTTCCAGAAAACCACCTGGAAAATGATACCATGTTTCACACCAAAGTAACAAGATTCTCCTCTCAGCAGGAAAACCCCCACAAAGTGCTAGCTGTGCATTTCCAATGAAATATTCATACCTCTGGTAGCAACGTAGTGGCAAGAGCAATCTGCATGCCTCTGCAAATGACCACAGGTAAAGAAAGATACAGTCAGCATAGCAAGCTTTCTAAGGCTCCAGGAAACCTAAGGGACAGGGTAGTGGCAAGAGCAATCTGCATGCCTCTGAAAATGACCACAGGTAAAGAAAGATATAGTCAGCATAGCAGGCTTTCTAAGGCTCCTAAGGGGCAATTACGTCAGAAAGGAACGACTGCCTGCACTTGTTTTGTACCTCTGCTTACAGAGGCTCAAGGAAGCTTCTATTCAGGCATTCTGTTTATAAGCCCATTGCGTAAATGGGGACCTCGGTCACATTGAGCAACGTTACCTGCTCACATACATTGTTTGCATCCAGAAGCCCAGTATCTGTGTCTGCGTGCAGAAACCAAATGTCTCCGTAGGAGGCCTTGCAAGGCTCCATTCTTAACAGATATATGCAAAGATTCAATTCTTAAACAAACAAATAAATAATCACCCTCCAGTTTATGAATGTGGGATATTGTGCTTCTGTATCCATGTTTTAAAATGCCAAGAAATCGCCCAGTATATCGCTGCACAGTATCATTCGTGCACTGCCAGCAGGAAAAAGGATGCTAGACTTGACACTGCAAAGGACAGCCTAAAAGCTCTCCAGGGTTTCAGGCTACAGTTTTTCCAGCCCTGTTTGGAGATGCTGAGAATTAAGCCTGGGACCTGATAGCTGAAATCCTGTTGAAGTTGGTGTGATGCAAAATTGTGTCTGCAAAGGTGTATAGATTATTATGCCCAGTCAGTCAGCATCATGCATTTTGACTGCCAGATTGACCACACAATTGGAACACAAAGTCAATGTTCTCTACCACTTGTGTAATGTTGAATTGTGCACACAAAACTGCACAACAGAATTTCAGCCACTGCATGCAAATATAGCAGCTGGATCCACTGCCCTGATATGCTTGCATAATGTTTGCCATCCGGTGTTTCTTAGAATTATAAAAGCCTAATTTCTGTTACCTAGTAAATACTGAAAAGGGTCACCGTAAGTCAGGATTGACATCATCGTCATCATCTCGGAACTGCAGAGCTGGAAGGGCCCTGTGGATCATCAAGTCCAACCCCTGTCGAAGAGTCACAGTGGGGAATTGAACTCTCAGCCTCTGCTTGCAGCCAGATACCTAAACCACTGAGCCATCCAGACTTGATGTCACCCAATTATTTTACTAATTTCAACACTACCTTCACTCTCCTTCACCCAGCAGGGGGTTGGGCTTGATGGCCTTATAGGCTCCTTCCGACTTCACTATTCTTTGATTCTATGATAAAGAAGATCAGTTCAAATGAATGTCCACCCTTAACTGCAACTAACATAAGTCCCATTAATTTCAATAGGTCTAATCTTGGTAGGATTAATGTTGGATTTAGCCCAATACATGCCCTGTCGAAAAAATTCTGTTTCTCAGGACGATTTCAGTGGATATTGAACAAAATAGGTGTTGCAATGCCTTCTGCTTCTGAGTTATGTCATATGGGCCAAGTTCAGTCTCAAATCAGACAAACTGAGACTCTTTCTATGTGTTAAGTATATTCCATAACCTTCTATCTAAAGAATTATATGGGAAATTCTGTTGAACTTTCTCAAACACTTCTGGATTTTTTTCATTAACAACAGATGGTGGAAGCAATAATCAGGAGCAAAAGATTTTCCCCTCTGGTAGCAGCTTTTCTTCTTACAATTGTACTCCCAAACTGGTCTTTGTAAAAGGTACAAGCCCCTCTGTATTTTCAGCGAAAGGAAACAGGCTAGCCATCAGGGAAAAGGTTAAAGTCCTTTCCCAGTCTATCCTTCCTCATCGTTCAACAGTGCTCTCCCAATAGCTGTAAGGGAGGTAAAGAAATGATACATGTCATTCCATGTATTGTTTAATTTGACCCTAATGCACCGACTCAAGGTATTTCAGGTGAGGCATAGAACTCTATGGAGGTTTGGAAACCGGACTGCCATGTTGGCTACAGGATTTTGGGATC